ACAAGTCCTACGACCTGTTAACAAGTCCTTAGACCTGTTCACAAGTCCTTAGACCTGTTAAAAGTCCTTAGACCTGTTCACAAGTCCTACGACCTGTTAACAAGTCCTTAGACCTGTTCACAAGTCCTTAGACCTGTTAAAAGTCCTTAGACCTGTTCACAAGTCCTTAGACCTGTTCACAAGTCCTTAGACCTGTTCACAAGTCCTACGACCTGTTCACAAGTCCTACGACCTGTTAACAAGTCCTTAGACCTGTTCACAAGTCCTTAGACCTGTTCACAAGTCCTACGACCTGTTCACAAGTCCTTAGACCTGTTCACAAGTCCTTAGACCTGTTCACAAGTCCTACTCTTCACAAGTATTACGACCTGTGGTTTCATGTTGGTAACTGAAGGAGGGCTCAGAGTCCTGGTCCTGCTCCTGCTCCTTGTTTTTAGTCCCTGACCCGATTCTTCTCAGACCTACATCGGTGCAGTTCTGATCTCCGTGAATCCTTTCAAACAGCTTCCATATTTCACCGATAGAGAAGTGGAGCTGTACCAGGGAGCTGTGAGAGCACACACACACACACACACACACACACACACACACCACACACACACACACACACACACACACACACACACACACACACACACACACACACACACACACACACACACACACACACACACACACACACACACACACACACACACACACACACACACACACACACACACACACACACACTGTATCACATCATTTAAACTGTGCCCTCCCTCTCTCAGGCTCAGTATGAGAACCCCCCACACATCTACGCGCTTGCTGACAACGTGTACAGGAACATGATGATTGACAGCGAGAACCAGTGTGTCATCATCAGGTAGGCGGGACTCACCTAACAGACATATGCCCCGGCCATTCACTAGCTCTTAAGAAAACAGAGTTTAGTCGTGTTTTTATTAAGCAGCTGGTGTTTGTACTTTTATTCATTACATGTTTTTTATGTATTGAGCCTGAGTTATCTGTTTCCTATGTTTGGCTTCCTGTTTCCTGTTGCATCTTTGCTTCTTCTTGTCAGCGGTGAGAGTGGAGCTGGAAAAACTGTTGCTGCCAAGTACATCATGAGCTATGTGTCCAAAGTGTCCGGAGGAGGCGACAAAGTCCAGGTCAGTCCTCCCAGTACTGCTCCTGGTCATTTTTCCTGTAGAACTTCCTATAGTGCATCCAGAATTACTTCCTGACGTACTTCCTTTAGTGCATCCAGAATTACTTCCTGACGTACTTCCTTTAGTGCATCCAGAATTACTTCCTGACGTACTTCCTTTAGTGCATCCAGAATTACTTCCTGACATACTTCCTGCAGTACTTCCTGCAGTGCTTCCAGAAGTACTTCCTGTAGAACTTCCTGCAGTACTTCCTGTAGTGCTTCCAGAAGTACTCCCTGTAGAACTTCCTGAAGTACTTCCTGTATAACTTCCTATAGTGCATCTAGAAATACTTCCTGTAGTACTTCCTGATGTACTTCCTGTAGTGCATCCAGAAATACTTCCTGTAGTGCTTCCTGTTGTGCTTCCTGACATACTTCCTGATGTACTTCCTGTAGTACTGCCTGTAGTGCTTGCAGACGTACTTCCTGTAGTGCATCCAGAAATACTTCCTGTAGTACTTCCTGTATGGACGTGGTCGTAGTGACATCCCTCATTGGTTACTGAAGAGAAGTTATGAAGCCATGTTGAAAGTACTGACTCCAACTTATTTCAAGCTAAGTGCGGAAAAAACAGAGCTGAGGCGTGATTTATGATAATCCTTACTTTACCAATAAATAAACAAGCTATGGAGACTGTAAACATGTTTATTTCTACTATAACAAAGAAGTGAAACTAATGGGGATTGGCTCACTTTTGGAGACATCCTCAAGTGGACCCCCGAGGAACTGCAGTTTTTTGACACTTTTGCATTGGCTTAATTTTTCATCCTGTGTGTGTGTGTGTGTGTGTGTGTGTGTGTGTGTGTGTGTGTGTGTGTGTGTGTGTGTGTGTGTGTGTGTGTGTGTGTGTGTGTGTGTGTGTGTGTGTGTGTGTGTGTGTGTGTGTGTGTGTGTGTGTGTGTGTGTGTGTGTGTGTGTGTGTAGCATGTTAAAGACATCATATTGCAGTCCAATCCCCTGCTGGAGGCCTTCGGTAACGCCAAGACAGTCCGCAACAACAACTCCAGCAGATTTGTGAGTATAAATACATCCAGAAGTTGATAGAAGGTTTCTACTTATTAACATACAATGTAACCCCCCCCCCCCCCCCCAGGGTAAATACTTTGAGATCCAGTTCGGTCGTGGAGGGATGAAATTTCAAAACTTCCTGTTGGAGAAAAGTCGAGTCATCTCACAGAATCCTGGAGAGAGAAACTTCCACATCTACTACCAGGTACGACAACATACATACAAGTACTGCAACACGTACTACAAGTACTTCCAGTTATCCTACAGTTGGACCTCATAATCACTTTCTGATTCTGTTTCTTGTTCAGAAACTCAAAAACAAGAAGTTGTTGTCGTTAACTTTACCTTGAGCTTTCTGTGACCTTTGACCTCTGTGTGATCTCTGCCCTCAGCTTTTGGAGGGGGCTACTAGTGAGCAGAGGGAGAACCTCGGGGTGACAACCCCTGACTATTACTTCTACCTGAACCAATCAGGAACGTACACGGTGGAGGATGTCAATGACAAGAAAGAGTTCTCTGATACCATGGTCTGTACCTGTCTGTCTGTCTGCCTGTCTGCCTGTCTGTCTCTCTCACTGTCTGTCTGTCTGTCTGTCTGTCTGCCTGTCTGCCTGTCTGTCTCTCTTACTGTCTGTCTGTCTCTCTTACTGTCTGTCTGTCTGTCTGTCTGCCTGTCTGTCTCTCTTACTGTCTGTCTGTCTCTCTTACTGTCTGTCTGTCTGTCTGTCTGTCTCTCTTACTGTCTGTCTGTCTCTCTTACTGTCTGTCTGTCTGCCTGTCTGTCTCTCTTACTGTCTGTCTGTCTGCCTGTCTGTCTCTCTTACTGTCTGTCTGTCTCTCTTACTGTCTGTCTGTCTGTCTGTCTGTCTGTCTCTCTTACTGTCTGTCTGTCTCTCTTACTGTCTGTCTGTCTGTCTGTCTGTCTCTCTTACTGTCTGTCTGTCTGTCTGTCTGTCTGTCTGTCTGTCTGCCTGTCTGTCTCTCTTACTGTCTGTCTGTCTGTCTGTCTGTCTGTCTGTCTGCCTGTCTGTCTCTCTTACTGTCTGTCTGTCTCTCTTACTGTCTGTCTGTCTGTCTGTCTGTCTCTCTTACTGTCTGTCTGTCTGCCTGTCTGTCTCTCTTACTGTCTGTCTGTCTCTCTTACTGTCTGTCTGTCTGTCTGTCTGTCTCTCTTACTGTCTGTCTGTCTCTCTTACTGTCTGTCTGTCTGCCTGTCTGTCTCTCTTACTGTCTGTCTGTCTGCCTGTCTGTCTCTCTTACTGTCTGTCTGTCTCTCTTACTGTCTGTCTGTCTGTCTGTCTGTCTCTCTTACTGTCTGTCTGTCTCTCTTACTGTCTGTCTGTCTGCCTGTCTGTCTCTCTTACTGTCTGTCTGTCTCTCTTACTGTCTGCCTGTCTGCCTGTCTGTCTCTCTTACTGTCTGTCTGTCTGTCTGTCTGTCTGTCAGGAGGCCATGTCAGTAGTGGGTCTCTCTATGGACGATCAGGATGCAGTTCTTCAGCTGGTTGCAGGAATTCTTCATTTAGGAAACATCAGCTTCAGAGAGGAGAACAACTACGCTGTGGTGGAGAGCCAGGACTGTGAGAACACACTACACACCATATACTACAACATATACACGATAAACTGTATACACACGTATACTACAATACATTACACCTCCACCTGTGCCAGTGGGCACGCCACAAAGTCGTCAGCTGGGAGCAACCCTTCAGAGATGCTTCGCCCCTCACGTCTGGCCATAGAGCAGTTGAGGCTATTTCAGATGATGGTCCACATCAACACTCATTCGCATCCAAATGTCAGTACGGACCGCAACCTCTAAATGATGTAGTCCGCCTCAGCTCCTTGCCTGATGAAGTCCTTCTTGGTATGGAGGATGATTGGTTGTTTCTGTTGGCATGGTGATCAGCTGACCCTCTGGGGGGGCTTTGATCTATCTTCACTAGGCCTTCTGAGAGTTATGTCATGATAGTGTGAGCCACATGCTTGTCTCAGAGATCTGCAGTGTTTAGCTTCCCAAGACATTGCACTGGCTGCTCTGCCAGCAGAGGAGGGGATGTTATCAGTCCTGGATCCTTTCCTGATTGACAGGCTTCAGGACTTCATGTAGCTCTTAAGGGCTTAAAGATGCTGTCCTGATTCAGATCTCAGTCCTCTGAACTGCGCCGATCAGGAGGATTTCAAAGGCTGCTGTGAACCAAGGCTCGAGCTGCTGCCAGTCAAGTGTGATATTTTCACACAATATATGCTACACACTACAAACTACCCTACATAAACTACACTACAATATACACACTGTATAAACTCCAGAAAGACTAAAGCAGGAGAACCAGGACTGTGAGGAAACACACTATATTTACACTGTAGACTACCATACACCTGAACAGTCTGTAATGTGACTCTGTGTTTGGTTCCTGGGGGGGTAGTCCTGGCTTTCCCAGCCTTCCTGTTGGGGATCCCTCAGGACGGCCTCTGCAGTAAGCTGACCAGCAGGACCATGGACAGTAAGTGGGGCGGAAAGACCGAGTCCATCTCTGTGACCCTGAACACTGAGCAGGCCAGCTTCTCCAGAGACGCGTTGTCCAAGGCCCTGTACACACGCCTGTTCGACTTCCTGGTTGATGTCAGTACACACACACACACACACACACACACACACACACACACACACACACACACACACACACACACACACACACACACTTTGATTCCACATTCTTTATTGATTGTGTTTTATGGGACAGTGTATCAATAAAGCTATGGAGAAGGAGCAGGAGGATCTTACCATTGGAGTCCTCGACATCTACGGCTTTGAGATCTTTCAGGTACAACACACACACACACACACACACACACACACACACACACACACACACACACACACACACACGCTGTTTGACCAATGTGATTGTTTGTTTCAGAGAAACGGCTTTGAGCAGTTCTGCATCAACTTTGTGAACGAGAAGCTGCAGCAGATTTTCATTGAGCTCACACTGAAGGCAGAACAGGTGCTTCATTATGACATCACAGCATGACATCATCACATCACACCTTTGGTTCTCCCGTTAGAGACGTAGCTACAGCTGTGTGTGCTTTGTGTCTCTGCAGGAGGAGTACGTTCAGGAGGGGATCAAGTGGTCACCCATCGAGTACTTTAACAACAAAGTGGTCTGTGACCTGATTGAGTCCAAACTGGTGAGTTGACCAGTCAGTGAACAGGACTGATATATCCCATCATGCATTGCAGTTCAAAGATTTTTATGAGGCGTTTGACTCGACTGCTCTCAGATGGACAACAGGAGCTAGCAGCGTGAAGAAAGTGGATAAAGTTCATATTTGGAGCGTTTAGACTGAAATCTATGATCAGTTTAAATAGAGTCAAAGATGGTTAACGTTAGTGACGGTAGTTTGTCCTGATGAAGACAGACGAGAGACTGAAAAATATATTTTTTAAAGATTTAATCATTATATAATATTTAAAATGTAATAATTATAAAAAAAAATCAATATTTAACATTTAATAATTAAAAAAAAAAAAAATCAATATTTAACATTAAATCATTATTAAACTGCTTTATTAAAACACATTCAGTATCAGTTCATGTTGTTATTATTGATCCTCGGCTGTTGTTAAGCTGCACGTTTCAGTTGCGCCACCGGCAAGTGAGCGAGTAGCATCTGAGATGTTTTTGAATTGTGCTGAGTGAGTGCACTACATATAACTCATTAAACAGGGAGGAGGGAGTGATCTCTGTAACAGCCAAAGTTTTCTCTGCGACGGTTTCCCAGAATCCTCCTGGGCTGATGAGCATCCTTGACGACGTGTGTGCGACGATGCACGCTAAAGGTGAGGGGGCGGATCAGACGCTGCTGCAGAAGCTTCAGGGTCAAATCGGATCGCACGAACACTTCAGCAGCTGGAACAAAGGATTCATCATCCATCACTACGCCGGCAAGGTGCACACCTGTCTGTCTGCTCACCTGTCTCTCTGTCTGTCTGCTCACCTGTCTGTCTGTCTGTCTGTTCACCTGTCTGTCTGTTCACCTGTCTGTCTGTCTGTCTGCTCACCTGTCTGTCTGCTCACCTGTCTGTCTGTTCACCTGTCTGTCTGTCTGTCTGATCACCTGTCTGTCTGCTCACCTGTCTGTCTGTTCACCTGTCTCTCTGTCTGTCTGCTCACCTGTCTGTCTGTTCACCTGTCTGTCTGTCTGTCTGCTCACCTGTCTGTCTGTTCACCTGTCTGTCTGCTCACCTGTCTGTCTGTTCACCTGTCTCTCTGTCTGTCTGCTCACCTGTCTGTCTGTCTGTTCACCTGTCTGTCTGTTCACCTGTCTGTCTGTTCACCTGTCTGTCTGCTCACCTGTCTGTCTGCTCACCTGTCTGTCTGTTCACCTGTCTGTCTGCTCACCTGTCTGTCTGCTCACCTGTCTGTCTGTTCACCTGTCTCTCTGTCTGTCTGCTCACCTGTCTGTCTGTCTGCTCACCTGTCTGTCTGTTCACCTGTCTGTTCACCTGTCTGTTCACCTGTCTGTTCACCTGTCTGTCTGCTCACCTGTCTGTCTGTTCACCTGTCTGTCTGCTTACCTGTCTGTCTGTATCCAGGTGTCGTATGACGTCAGTGGTTTCTGTGAGAGGAACAGAGACGTGTTGTTTAATGACATCATCGAGTTGATGCAGAGCAGTGAGTTGTGAGTATTCACACCTCTCTTCACCTGTACTGAAGCTCCTCCCTCAGGGGGCGGACTACTCTGACGTCATGTGCATGCCCTCTAGAGTGAACTGAATCAATATGTATATATGGTAATAATGATGACCTCACACCTGTCTGTGTTGTATTTGTGGTTAGTCCGTTCATCAAAGCTCTGTTTCCTGAGAACCTGGAGGCGGAGAAGAAGGGGCGTCCGAGCACCGCCAGCAGTAAGATCAAGGTGAGAGAGATCAGCCAGAGCATACCACATGTTTTAAACCTGTAAACACACTACAAATCTTCAGATATATCACCAGAACAGAGAGATTGTTACGTCCCCCCCCCCTCTCTGTTTTAGAAACAAGCCAACAGTCTGGTGCAGACTCTGATGAAATGCACCCCCCACTACATCCGCTGCATCAAACCCAACGAGACCAAAAAGCCCAGAGACTGGGAGGAGACCCGGGTCAAACATCAGGTGGAGTACCTAGGTCTGAGAGAGAACATCAGAGTCCGCCGGGCTGGATACGCCTACAGACGAGTCTTCAACAAGTTCCTGCAGAGGTCAGAGGTCAAACTGTCCTCCTCACTGAGCGCATACATGCTAAGATAAGCTAACAGAGATGCTAACAGAGAGTACCTCTGCTGCAGGTACGCCATCCTGACCAAAGAGAGCTGGCCTAAGTGGAGGGGCGAGCAGCGTCAGGGAGTCCTGCACCTCCTGAAGTCGGTCCACATGGACCAGGACCAGTTCCAGCTCGGAAAGACCAAAGTGTTCATCAAAGCTCCAGAGTCGGTGAGAAACATTGGCACGGCTCAGGAAGATGGGTTTTGGGCTGTGAACCTGGTGTCATTGTAGACAGTAAACACCGGGGCGGCAGTAGCTCAGTCTGTAGGGACTTGGGTTGGGAATCAGAGGGTCGCTGGTTCAAGTCCCGGCACAGACCAAGTCCAGAAATTGGCCTGGTAGCTGGAGAGGTGCCAGTCCACTTCCTGAGCACTGCCGAGGTGCCCTTGAGCAAGGCACCTAACCCCCCCACCAGCCCAGGAGCGCCCACTTGTTTGTGCATGTGTGTGTATTTCGGCCTATGTTTGTGTAGCATGTTAACTAGACAGAGTGTAAAAAACGAATTTCCCCTCGCGGGATCAATAAAGTATACATTATTATTATAAACAGCTTTAGGTCTGATCCCACACAGATGCTAGTGACCAGAGGACATGACCAGGGGGATAGAATCACTTTATTTGAACCATTATCATCATCAACATCTTCAGTAACATCACCAGTAAGGTTGTAGGTGTTGATAAAGAGCTGGGTCTTTAGCTTTTTCTTAAAGGTGCAGAGGGACTCTGCAGATCCAATGGAGTTTGGAAGTTCATTCCACTACCGGGGGGCGACAGAGGAGAAGAGTCTAGTCAGAGACTTAGGACCCTGTTGTGAAGGTTGGATCAGACGCCTTTCATTGGCAGAGCGTAGTGGATGGGAGGGAGTGTAGACCTGGATCAGAGAGTTAAAGTAAGGAGGAGAGTTTTTGCCGCTGTTTTGTAAGCGAGCAGCAGAGTTTTAAATTTGATGCGAGCAGTAACTGGGAGCCAGTGTAAGGAGATGAACAACGGACAAGGAGCTCAGTCTTTGAAAGATTGAGTTGAAGGTGCCGTTCATTCATCCATTTAGAGATATCAGCAAGGCATGATGAGATTCTTGCAGAGACTGTGACATCGTCTGGCGGGAATGACAGGAAGAGCTGGGTATCGTCAGCATAGCAGAAGAGAAGGGGACCGAGCACTGAGCCCTGAGGTACCCCTGTGGATACATGTTGTGCTCTGGACACTTCTCCCTTCCATGACACTCTAAAAGATCTCCTTGAGAGGAATGACACAGACCTGAACCAGACCCTCAGGAGGACCTCTAGGTCATCTAACCAGGCTCAATTCTAGTGATCTGGTCTTCAGGTGGTTTCAGATTTAGTCAGACTAAAGTACAGCTGAGCCTCAGAGTTTGTAGAGCTACTCTACATTCATCTTAAGCCCTCAGGTTCATGACTCACTGTCAAACAGGGGCATTGTGGGTATTGTGGTTCCCCGGGCTGGTGGATCTCTGTCTCAGTGTTGTCTTCTCTCTGCAGCTCTTCCTGTTGGAGGAGATGAGGGAGAGGAAGTATAACGGGTACGCTCGTGTCATCCAGAAGGCGTGGCGTAAACACATTGCTGTCCGCAAGTTTGTCAAGATGAGGGAGGAAGGTAAGAGCTGTTACACACACACACACACAGGATGAACCAGCTGATGGGTTTAACAGCGTTCTGTCTCTGTGTTCTCATCGTGTTTGAGGTTAAAACTGTTTGGTTACTTTTCCTTCAGCTTCTGATGTCCTGCTGAATAAAAAAGAGCGTCGCAGAAACAGCATCAACAGGAACTTTGTGGGCGACTACATCGGCATGGACAACCATCCAGAGGTCAGACAGTTTGTTGGTCGCAGAGAGAGGATCGACTTCGCAGATGTTGTGGTCAAATATGACCGAAGGTTCAGAGTGAGTCTAAAATGACCGAGGCTATGTTCCACTTCTGCTTGTTGATCAGTCATGAACGTATAGAAGGACTGAAACGCAGGATGTGTTTAACACTCCTGTTTCTTCACACTTTGTTTTGATCTACAGACAGTGAAGCGAGACCTCGTCCTGACCCCAAAGTTCCTGTACCTGATTGGGCGAGAGAAAGTGAAGCAGGGTCCAGATAAAGGTCAGATCCAGGAAGTTCTCAAGAGGAAGATCGAACTCAACAAGATCCAGTCTGTTTCTCTCAGGTACAAAACAGAACCAGAACCAAATCTACAACCGGGGTGCAGCCCACTTTTTAGATGAAAAAGAGATCTAGAACTAGAATTAGAACTGACACTAAATATACAAAAGCTTTAGCTATGAAACTAGAACAATAACCAGTGCACGGTCACCCTGACCCCGGGCCCGGACCCTAACCCGTTTCACTCAGGGGCCGCCTACAGCTGAAACAAGAGTAACAAGAACTGGAACTAGAATTAGCACCAGAATGGGTTTTCAAACAGAGACCAGAACCTGTCTGTCTGTCTCACTGTCTGTCTCTCTCTGTCAGCACTCTACAGGACGACCTGTTCATCGTCCACGAGGAGGAGTACGACAGCGTTCTTCAGAGTGTCTTTAAAACCGAGTTCCTCAGTCTGCTGGTCAAACGTTATCAGGAGAAAAGTGACCAGAAGCTGGTGCTCAAATTCAACAACCTGTCAGTAACACAGCTCACTGGTCATGAGTCAGCACATTATCAAACACAGCTCACTGCTCATGAGTCTGCACATTATCAAACACAGGTCATGAGTCAGCACATTGTCAAACACAGCTCACTGCTCATGAGTCAGCACATTATCAAACACAGCTCACTGGTCATGAGTCAGCACATTATCAAACAAAGCTCACTGCTCATGAGTCTGCACATTATCAAACACAGCTCACTGCTCATGAGTCAGCACATTATCAAACACAGCTCACTGGTCATGAGTCAGCACATTATCAAACAAAGCTCACTGCTCATGAGTCTGCACATTATCAAACACAGGTCACTGCTCATGAGTCAGCACATTACCAAACACAGCTCACTGGTCATGAGTCAGCACATTATCAAACACAGCTCACTGCTCATGAGTCTGCACATTATCAAACACAGGCTCACTGGTCATGAGTCAGCACATTATCAAACAAAGCTCACTGGTCATGAGTCTGCACATTACCAAACACAGCTCACTGGTCATGAGTCAGCACATTACCAAACACAGCTCACTGCTCATGAGTCAGCACATTATCAAACAAAGCTCACTGCTCATGAGTCTGCACATTATCAAACACAGCTCACTGCTCATGAGTCTGCACATTATCAAACACAGCTCACTGGTCATGAGTCAGCACATTATCAAACACAGCTCACTGCTTATGAGTCAGCACATTATCAAACACAGGTCATGAGTCAGCACATTATCAAACACAGGTCATGAGTCTGCACATTATCAAACACAGCTCACTGCTCATGAGTCTGCACATTATCAAACAGCTCACTGCTCATGAGTCTGCACATTATCAAACACAGCTCACTGCTCATGAGTCAGCACATTATCAAACACAGCTCACTGCTCATGAGTCAGCACATTATCAAACACAGCTCACTGGTCATGAGTCAGCACATTATCAAACACAGCTCACTGCTCATGAGTCTGCACATTATCAAACAGGTCATGAGTCTGCACATTATCAAACAGGTCATGAGTCTGCACATTATCAAACAGGTCATGAGTCTGCACATTATCAAACAGGTCATGAGTCTGCACATTATCAAACAGGTCATGAGTCTGCACATTATCAAACACAGCTCACTGCTCATGAGTCTGCACATTATCAAACACATTTATCATCTACCATGTGTTTGTCCTTCAGGCTGGAGTTCAAGGTGAAGAAGGGCGGTTGGGGGCCATTTAGTTCTTCAGGGTCCAGACAGATCCAGTTCCAGGGAGGGGACGGGGATGAGGCAATTCTGAAACCCAGTGGGAAGGTCCTGCAGGTCTCCATCGGACCAGGTCTACCTAAAAACTCCAGTAAGTTCTTACTTGACTAATGACTGTTTGATTAAAGTCCAGGTATGCATCCCCCTCCTTACTTCCTGTTTGGTTTGTAGGACCAACCAGGAAGGACATGCGCAAGAGCCGCTACAAGGGACACCAGGCTCCACCCACCAGCCAGTACAGCTCAGGTACCAAAACAAACCACTGTCAGGTTTCAGGGCATCATCTTCTGACTTTTTGTTAGTAATGTGAGTTTTTTCTTCAGCTCCTCCCTCCAGGAAGGGCGGGGCTCCCAGAGGAGGCTCCACCTCCTCCAGACACTCCCTGTTGAGGCAGCAGTCCAACATGGAACAGCCCAGTCTGCCCCGCCTCCAGAGCCAGCGTCGCCACGACCACCAAGCCCAACAACAGCATGACATGGGCTTCATGGAAGTCCCTGACCAGGGTGCTGCAGGGTGAGAGAGCAACCAGTACAACCAGTATAACACAGCCACACCACCTGTATAAAGTAACCATGGTAACCAGTAGAAACAAGTCCCATCGGTGCAAAGTTTACAGAAAAGCTAACTCTCTGACTGAATGTGTCCCTGTAAGTCTGTGGTTGTCTTCATATTTAATAATTAGCAGCTTGTTTAAAGAGTCATATTCTGTCCTTTTTGGGGTTGGTATATTTAATCTATGTTCCTACTTTTGTACGTTCACAATAGCTAAAGTTCTAAAAAAGTGTCTGTTTTCATGTCATGCTCCTCCTTGCTCCCTCTCCGCTCTGAGTCCATCAGCTGCACTCTGTTGAGCCCACACTGTTAGACCCCACGTGGGCCAAGTCTGCTCTGATTGGTCTGCCGATCCGCTCTGTCGTTATTGGTCAGTTGCTCAGCATGGTTCTCGGAAATTTCAACATGAGCTGCTGGGCCACAACGAGCCAATGGGCTTAGATCAGTGATCTCACACTGACAATGACGTCGGACTGACACATTTTTATCGAGGGGGGCTAGAACCGAGCGTTACATGCAGCTAATGCTACAGCTAACAGGAGGACGTAGGAGAAGACACGTTTCCGCAGACTTTGAATTTTTGCACATAGATGTTCCTAAACATGCACAGGACACTTGGAAAACACACTAAAGAGCATATAAAACCAGAAAAAGCAGAATATGGGACCTTTAAATGCTGAACCATGTCGTCATGGCAACCTCACTGGAATCATTTGAGATGCATTAGAGCCAAACAGTAACCTCCGGTGTTGTAAAGTAAATAACTCCAGTGAGTCAGTCCTGAGTCAGAGCCCCATGTTAAAATGTGTAACTTTACAGCTGTAGTTCCTCCAGTGTCCACTAGAGTCTGTCTCCTGCAGTGAGTCAGTCTCCATAGAGCTCTATGTTAAAATAAACATGTTTAAAGTCTGTAACTGTTCGGGCTGAATGTTTATACAACTTACCTGTTTACATTATATATATATATATATATATATATATATATATATATTATAAGGCTTAAAGTGATGTAGAATTAGGGGGCGTGGCCTCTTTGTGTTTTTTCTCTGGTTAAATACAGTATGTGAACATGGTGTGTTTGTAATCCCTGTGTGTTGCCTGCAGGCTGCAGCGGCGGATGTCGAAGGACGTTAAGCCCCTTCCTGGAGTGGGTCGACCCAAACCGGCTCCCAGACCCAAGCCTCGCTCTCCTCAGTGCAAAGCTCTGTACGCCTACGATGCCCAGGACACCGACGAACTCAGCTTCAATGCCGATGATGTCATCGAGATACTCACTGAAGGTAGCTCTAAAGTTCTACTGTAACCCCCAATTCACACATACCGTGCACGCCGCAGCCCGTCACTCAGGAGATCGAAGCGAGACAGAATAT